AGACTACATATCCCATTGTGCATTGCTTCCCGCAAGCAATGATAATGTTACATTGTTCAGACTTTAAAAACGTAAACGTAAGCCCCTCCCAGGGGGCTTGACTAGAAATCACAGGGCCCCATAGCAAAGATTTGTATGGGGCCCCGTGATTGCTAGTTATGACACTTGCAAGAGCCCACCTGATATACCAAACAGCCCACCTGAGAGTGACCCTGCAGAGCCCACCATAGCCTCCCGTCAGCCTAGGCTCAATATACCGCGAGCTGTGGCTCGCGGTATACTGAGACGCCGCAGTATACCGCGAGAAGCTGCTCGCGGTATACTGAGACGCCGCAGCTGAAGCGGATCCCGACAATTGTGCCTGGATCCGCCCAGCTGCGTGACTGACAGCTGGCTCTGCCTATCTAAAGGCAGAGCCAGCTGTACCCGCCTCCTCCCTCGTCCGTTCCGCCAGTCAGCGCTGGAGGATCGGAGCGGGGAGGGGGGAATCCAGTCTCTCCCCTGTGACGGCTCTTTGCAGTGACAGGATCGAGAGGTAAGCGAACGCCGGTATGTGTTCGCTCACTACCCGATCTACTGAGCCGACCTGTGACATTCTCATTGTTGCCATACTTTTGTTTGTTACAATCACATGACAGTCATGGGGCATTCAGCTGACAGAGCTGTGATTACCGTCTCCTTTTTTTGTAAAATAAACATTTGCAATTCTACCCAATATATATATATATATTTTCCCCCCTATTCTCTTGTCTACATGTAGGTATATTTGGCCATATAACTTGTTGTATTTAGGTTTTTAAAAAGTTATGAAGTTCATAACAGAAAAGAGAAAAAAACTATTATTTCACCATAAACCAATATTATTGAGTATATAGAAGTAGTTTGATATTACACCCCTCATATAGCCACTGCACAATGTACAAAAATACCATCAATGGGGTTTTTCTATGAGGACCGCTGGCCATCCTAAAAGGTGAAAGGTAGATGCGGGGACCTATTAGGGATTCTGGATGTGAAAACAAGACTTCTCAGTCATCCATCTTCCTGTGGGACTAAAACATTCAGCAGTGGGAAAGAGAGCTTGAGCCAGGCATTATATTTTTATACTATCTTAATTTTATCCTGGACATATAACAACAAGGGAGCTTAGTACTATGAGATTAATGAATGGGACTTGATATAGGCATTTCAGACCTATCTGAGCCAGATTAAATATTAAATAAGGATCAATTATTGTGCTCAGTGGCGTCACAAGGGCGGTGCGGGGGGTGCGGCCCGTATCCGGTTGCCACCATTGGAATGTCATTTTGGTGTCACCCCTATGAAAAGTCTGTGGCCAGCTTTAGAGCCAGACCTCCATCTGGACTGATTTGGTTAAATCTACCTCTACTCTTAAGTTTGATTAATTCAATGTTTTCCTTAAATTAGTTTCTGCTTTATCCTTCAACAGCCAGGCTGTAAGACAGCAGAGATACCAAGATGTGACCTTATACTTGGCCGATTCTTGGTGACTGTAGGCCTCAGTTAGGCACACACTCCTCTTTTAAAACAAGACAGACCCGGAGAGACTGAGCGGAGGGGCTACATGACTGGGGGGAGGAATAGTCCCGGGAGAAAGAGTTAAAAATAAAATGGGAATAGCTGCTCTTACCTGATTGGACGTGATAGTCAAGTGTCCGTGAGGGGACGCATGGGAAGAAACTGCAAGGGCTGAGGCCTTTTCTGGAAATCGACGAAGGAAGCTGGTTGTCCCACCCTCCCTCCCTGAATTTGGTAGTTCTGAGGGTTGTGGGGTTCTTTTGTCACGGCAGCTTAGCGGGTCTTTGGGGGGGTCTTCAGAATCGGAGTTGATTACAAAAATGAGGGGCCATCAGCTGGTACGGGTGCTTCCCCCTGCTGGTGTCCGGATTTGTAGGGGGCGGGGCCTGGCCCCTTGGGAACCTGGAAGTAGTAAGTGTCCTCGAGCTGGTTGCGGTGTGGCTGGGAACATGGGTGGAGTGTCGGTAGAGGCCTTTTTGGGCTGTTGGGCACCCAAAGACCCCTTCTCAGGTCAACAATAGTTTACAGTATTATTTGTGTATATTATTTGGTTTATTACTTTTGGTTATTGTTAAAGTTGTTTGTTTAATAAAAGGGCTGCTGTGGCCGTTAAAATCCATGTCACGCAGTCCGAGTGTTTATTGGGGTTTTAACGGAGGGACAAAAATTGACTAATCCATCAGTCGTGGTTGTTTGGAGGTGCAGCTCCTGGCTGACTCTAATAACCTCTGAGCATCACCATAGTTCATAGACACTGAGGGACTATATGGCCCTTTTAGTGATTTCTTTTATAATGGTGCTGAAAGCAGGACCTCCAACATCACCAACTCCACAAGGTAGAGAATACTCTGATCATCTCTCCCTACAATTCCAATGGCACAGGCACAAATAGCTATAAAGACCTTGGATTTCTGTCTTTATTTCTGTTTCACTCTTGTTCTTTACCTTCAAAGCTCCATCAATGTGACCTCAACCATCCTGGTGAGAGAATCCTGTCATTGGCTGCTCTACAGCACCCGCCTGGAGCTACTGCAGATCCCATTTTGAAGAACCTTGGCCACCTTCACCTTCTCTCTCCCTAAGTTCTC